GATGGATGGATGGATGGATGGATGGATGGATGGATGGATGGATGGATGGATGGATAGATAGATAGATAGATAGATAGATAGATAGATAGATAGATAGATAGATAGATAGATAGAGAAGAGCCAAGAACACTGACCTCCATGATGAAGATCCCTGTGGTGGTGGTGGCGTAGAGAGGCGCCAGGCCCAGGAACAAACCGTTGGAGACTTCCAGGAAGAAGAGAAGCAACACCAGAGGGGGCTGAACTCTGAAAGAAAATGTCCCAGCATGTCCGTAAGAGTAGAGTTTTACGGCACTTGCAACACAATAGGTCATATAAGTGCCGAAGATTAGAGGTGTTACAAGAGAGTAACAAACACAGAAAAGAAGATGGGGAGATATGGATGATAGATGTTGGATAGGAAAGAAGGAGCAAACCACACCAGAGCACCCGCCAACCACCCACCCAGCATGTTCGAGGAATAACAAGTTAATAACAAGAATGCTTTTTCCCTCAATACTTAACCTAATTTGCTATAACGAATCCTCTTTTAAAGAACTCCTTATCTTCTTTTCTATGATTCTTTTGTAAACCTTTTTTTTTGTCCTCTTCTATGAACACCTTCTTTTTTATACACTTTCTTAATAAAAATCCCTTTTCCCCCCTATCCTCTGCTATAAACACCCTTTTCTTTCCTCTTCTATGAACGTATTTTTCTTCAATTTTCTTTATATAAACTCGTACTTTTTTCTATCCTCTTCTATGAACGTCTTCCTCTTTTATCCTCTTTTGATAAATCAGGAGTAACTATTTTTGTTCAAAACAAAAAGTAAGGATGTATTAAATAAAAGATTGGACACATTAATTGAAGCTGAACCCAAGTGTGATGAATTCGTTTCAAGTTATCAAGTATGTAAAAGCACGTTTAATTAATTGCACTCTATAGCCCAGTGGAAGGATTAGGCCTATCATAAAAAATATAGTCGCTTTTAAACACATGAGGGTTATCCCGAAAAATACTGTTTTGAGAAAATCGAAGGTATAGTTTTTGCCCCTTCTTCAGTCTCTATAAAGTAAAAGGAGAACTTTCTCTTTAACCAAACAAATATACACACCAATGAAACGAAACTGCTCCTATAGGTAGGGCAGTGCCCACTTTTGGTGTTGGTCAAGATTTCTGGAAACCCACAAAATCTGGTTTAACCTTCTTGTCCTTAAAAGCGACCATAGTTAGCTTAGTCACCATAATCTGACCACGCTAACAC